TTTTTTCATTCCTTTATTTTTATTTATTCAATTGTTATATTTTTACTTGTAGTTTATTTCACTATTATTTCATTTCAGGTTTATTTTGCTTAATATAATTGTTATTTTCAGCTATTCATTTTTAATTATTCTTTTTTAGTTGTATCAGGGATTTCAATTCATTTTATATAGTAGACAATGGAAGTCCGAACTAGTAAAATTCATCATGAAACATTGTCAATCACCTTCAAACAAAAGCATAAAGACACATGTAAAACGTGTGATGTATACAAAGCTCAGCTCAACAGTTCCAGCAACTTGGATAGAGAAAAAATACAAGAGGGGCATGACAAGCACCTGAACACTGCAGCAGAATTGCGTGAGCAAATGAATAAGAATTTGAAACTGTCCCAAGAAGATGATACAGTAGAGACATTAACGTTTGATTTGCAAAAGACGCACCACCTTCCAAAACCACCGACAAGTATTGTTTACTACTAGAGACAATTGAATTTTTATAATTTGGCCATTGCCGTGGGAAGCACTGAAGCACATGAAAGGGAATTTTCAATATATGGTAAGAACATGAAGCAGGCAGAGGAATCCAAGAAGTTGGCTCCTGCCTTTGAAAATTTACCATGGAAAATGTTAAAGCTCCAGTAGCTAAACTTAATTTATGGTCAGATTCATGTGGTGGCCAGAACAAAAGTATGAATCTTGTTTTAATGTTGATACATTTTCTCCAAAATCACCGTTTTTTGAAAAAGATTCAATTAAAATTTTTAGTCTCTGGTCATTCATTTTTACCAAAGGTTTCACATTTTGGTGATGTAGAATGTGCATTAAAAAGCGATCAAAGAGTTTACACAAATCAAAATTATATTGATATCATGAAGACATGCAGAAACAAAAATAAATTTATCGTGAATAAAATGACAAGGGACATGGTTTCAGTAATAAATTTACAAAAAGCAATAACAAACAGAAAAGTTGATATTGATAAGGAAGCAATAAGTTGGTTAAAAACTCATGAAATAATTCTGAAGAGCAGCCAATGGTTTTGTTTATGAGAAGTCATACAACAGACGAAGCTCACACCCAAGTGAACACAGAGAAAAAAGCAAAAGGTCGCAAGCCTATAATAAAAGAAGTCAAGATTCCGTTATTGTGGTCAGATGGCAAACCTTCATCCACAGAAAAAATTCAAGATTTGAAAGACATCATGAAGCCAATTCCTAAGGCTGCTGAAATATTTTACGATTTTATAAGGTCAAATCCAGGGCAAGCATTTTGATGACAGTTTCCTGGAAGATTAGTCATTTTAATTGTAATAAAAGGAAATTTTGGGTAATTTCTTATATTTGGATCATTTTCATTAATTTAGAGTGTTGGTGATCCTAATTTTCAAATATGATGTAAGCCGCTTCTGGTGATTGTTCCTGTCAAATTTGGCAGTTTTTGTTCATGAAAACAAACACTTAAGTTTCCTTTTCTTTATGTTCAAATTAATTTGAAAAATTACTTGAATATTTTTTGCAAACCATTTTTTTTCTCCTAATCTTGAACTTTACACTCGATTATTTTAGAAATTGTGTACCGTGGGTTAGACGATTTTTGCGTAACACTGTCCGTATGTAGACTCAATTTTGAATTTACATTATATTTTGTGACGAGTCCAATAAGTTATACATTCTCTACTCCTTTTTGCAATAAATTCAGTGACGAGTAAAGTTCTATTTCTATTAATAATTCAGTAATCCAAATAATTCAAGATTATACAGATGAAACATCAATGAAAACTTTGAATAAACATCCACTACGATAGTAAAATAAGTCATTTGTTAACTTTTCTCATTTTTAAAAGTTGTTAATAACAATATTCCTAGTCAGCTAGCTGCTAATTGTATAGAGCTAATATATTATTTTACTTTGAAATACCATTTCCAAAGTTATACCAAGTTATTATATCTAATATGAATAATCCTTTTGCGGTAGGTGCTTCCAATTATATTTATGTTCAGTATTTTAATGAGGTGGACAAATGAAATCAATAATTCAATCAATATATAGTGTATATATCTACACAATTCACTGCTGAAATACCTGAAGCGTACTACCCTTCAGTAAAATATAAATAACTTTTTTTAATAACTAACTGTTCTCCTATGAGCAACCCTTGGAAGTTTTCTGTAAGCACTAAGAGAATTCAGGAAGGCAAAAGATTTGATTTGCCTTATCTTTAGCATACTTTATAAACGTATACTCTTAACAGTAAGATTTTTAATATTATAAAACCTAACGTTGATAATTATGTATAATTGTCTGCCATGGTTTTGATTATACATTTCAAATAAAACTAACAATGATGAAGCCCAACTTACCGATACTTTATACTCTCAAGTTCATTGGGGTCACAATGAAGCCATTTTTGTGGATTACCTTCAGACAGTAAAAATTTCATTAGTTCATAGCCGGTTATTCTTGTCTGTTTACGTGAAGATACAAAAATCAGTGCTGAACTGTCTGAAGCATATTGGCAAATTGCTTGGTATACTGATTTATTCATGGCCGCCATTCGGGGGCAATAATGCTTTCCTGCAAAACCCTGTAGATGTATTTCCAATGGAACTGGTCTAACTGCAGAACTAAAGTTAAATATTCCCCTCTGAAAGAGAAAGCTCTTATTTTGTTATGTGTCGAAAATGTCTTCATTCTGATCCCAAGAGTAAGCAAGTCCACTCTGCACCACTATTTATTCAGTAACAAATCTGAAGAAATATACACAAAACATGAGAAATACATGACAAAATATACCAGCCACATGTCAAAACCATAAACAAATTCAGTGGCTGAGAAAAAAATTATGTGTCAAAGGGAACACATATCAACATAACTACCAACCTTGGAACTTTCAATAAAAAAAGGGAGTTGCGAAAACATAGACTGAAAGTCATATTACTTATGCACTTGAGTCTGACATAGTTCGGTTATTGAACATACACATTTTTACTCTGACAACAAGAACCACCTGTCAGTGCCCAGCTGCACGTCTATACTACGCACCATTCGCCATTTCAATGGAGACGAGTTTTTATCTTCGAGAAGAACCATTTTCAGGGATTGTCTTTGAGATTTCCACTTGATGCACCGTTACAAATTCACGAGATTTCGTTTGATCACCGTCTTCAAAAATGTTGCACCATTTGGGTCAGATGTTGTTATCTGTCCAATCTGTTGGGATTTTTACATTTCAAGTCTTTTTGAGGTATAGCTAGGAGTGAGGTTCCACGAAGAAATGGTCAGAGAATTAAGTTCTTCAGGATCATCAGTAAGGGAAGTTAGAGGACGTGAATTTAGGCAAGCTGTTTGTGAAAGAACTAACCAACTCTTCGAACTTTAAAGCTATAATACCAACCACCCTTCGCAAGAGAAGTCTATTCAAATCTATGAAATAACTAACTAAAATAGTTGTTTATTTTTTATTGAGTCAGCCATTGCTGCTGTTTTATTTGTTTTTATTTTATATACAATCCTCAAAACACCTGACAGTTTGAAGTATTTCTGGAGCTACTTAATGACATTGTTTTCTCACAAAAGGGCGCCAAAATGAAGGGTAATGTAGTGAACAGTCTCATGGATGAATTCCTTATGAAATTATCTATCTTTTTATTGTTTACTACTTTACCTATTCACATTCTAAGTGATAGTTATTGAGGGGCAGGAGCGGAGGTATGACAGTTGATATTTAGATAGAAAGATGTCTTCCTTAAATTGAAAATAGATCCTTGCCACTGTATATGTCATGTAGATTGTTTTTGTCATGTATCCCATTCAAGCATATCATCTATAATGTTTTCGAGTTGATGATATTTTTTTATTTCAGTTATATATTCAAAATTTTATATGTACACCTTTTGTATATTTCTGTAATTATTGTAATTTTCTACTACAAGTAGAACTAATACACTAAAGTACATTATGTCATCAATAATCAAACTTACTTTATCAGCATTCAACCAGTAAGCCAAATCTCCTGGATTAGCCATAGCAGTTGATAACCCAATGATCCTGACTGATTTTTTTGTTTTCATATTAATGCAATTCATCCTTGAGACAATTACTTCTAACACTGGTCCTCGATCTTCTCCTAATAAATGTATTTCATCAATGACTATTAACCCCACATCTTTCACGAAATCTTTTTCTGCCCAGTTTCTACTCATCGCATCCCATTTTTCAGGGGTTGTTATAATAATATTTGCATAACGTATAATTTCTGAACGTGGTGTTATATCGCCAGTAACCTCCACAACTTTCTTGGATATTTTTGAGAATTTTTTGGTCCAGTCTATGACACGCTCTCTTACAAGTGCTTTCATGGGCGCAATGTATACTACCTATATACAAATCTGAATTAACCTCAACCATTGTGTGTGTGTGTGTGTGTGTGTGTGTGTGTGTATGTTTGTATATGTATATATACACACGTACGCACACACCCCAATCATCTAGTAATCTAGTATATACTAACTTTGAGACCAGGATTATTTATGAATTGTCTCAAAATACACAGCTCAGCTACAATAGTCTTTCCAGATCCTGTTGGTGCTCCAAGTATCAGAGGGGTATCAGTGTGAAAACAGGAATGGAAGACTTGGCTTTGTACAGCATTGAAATGTGTGAATGGATAAAGATCTTCAAATGATTTGTTCCGTAGGACACTTTTTGGCAAAGGTTGTACATCCAAAATCTTCGTCTGAAAGGAATCGTTAGTGAAGAGCTTGAGATCTTGTAAATTTATCACTTGAACTGTTTCCGAATCTAGTAAAAAGAAGTAAAAGGTATGTAATAATATGTATCAAAAGTTCATAATTATTTATAAGATAACAATTCAAACATAGGATCAATTTGATAGGTTTCCTGATATAGATGATGTAGATTGGTTTTTATATTATTCACTATTTGTTATAGCAAAATAATGAAAAAAAATGTAAATATTAATATTATATGGGGTACCCAGTGTCACTATTTTTCAGGTTTGAAGGCCGTGTATTTTTGGAATTTCTTCCATACGAAGTATGTTCAAAAAATAACGGGAATTTTTAAATTTCACGGTTATTATGTACGTATACATGCCCCTGAAATATAATAACATTTCAAGTAGTGAAAAATGAGAATTGAAACTTTCTATGTTTTTACTCCTTTATTTTGTAACTAACGTTACTGCAGTTTCGTCCTATAAGAACATTTTCATTTTCAAAATTAAGTTTGAAAATGTCCTTCTAGGACGAAACTGCAGTAACGTTAGTTACAAATAAAAGTGGTAAAAAACATGGAAAGTTTCAATTCTCTTTACTTCATTATGATTTCCTTCCACGTAGTAACAGCTACATCCATTAATTTATTTTCAGCAGTGTTCATCTTTTACTTTGTCTGAGACAGATCAAAGAATTTGTATAAAATTTTGAGCAAAACACTGGATAAAGTGTATCAAAGTGTGTAAAATGTTAACAAAAGCCATGGTGGCTCTGGTATGTGTAAAACAAGAGTTTACGAGTGGTATAAGTGAAAACGTAGGAAATGACAAAAGCCCCGGACGCCCTAGTACATCAACAACCAATGAAAACGTGGAAAAAAGAGTAGTAGAAATTTATATTGAATATAGAATTAAAAAAAAACGTTTGTCTAATTTCTACCAAGTTTATTATACTAATACATCAAGTCAAGACAAGTACTTAAATATACAATGATAAGGACAGGTACTTGTAATGGGTACCTGAAATAGCAAATGTTACCTGAATAATCAATACCAATGCTACAATAACTAATTATCTTCTATTATATAGATGTCAAAGTTCACAAATTTAAAAGGGGGCGAGCTGCATAGTTCTACAAGAAACAAATCACACAATAAATAAAGAAAACATGAAAATTCTTCATATGTGCAATAAAGGAAATCTGATCATATTACAGGTACCTGACCTTGCTTCGACTTGATGTATTAGTTACTTTTTATTTCGAAATTGTTCAAGTCTTGAAATGGAGTTAATGACGATGCAAAATTACTGAAACGTGTCATAACAGCTGACGAAACATGCGTTTATAGATATGACATCGAAACTGAGGTTTAACCGACAAAGTGGAGGCATTCTGACTTTCCAAGACCGAACAAGGCTCGATAAGTGCAGTCATACATGAAGGTGTTCTTCGATTTTAATGGCAGAGTGCATCATGAATTCTTACCACGAGGTCAAACGGTCAATGAGGAGTACTACCAACAAGTTCAAATCAATTTGTGTGAAGCAATTCACAGTGTAGCCATATATTTGAATAGTTTACCAGCTAGGCTGTAAATTTTAAGTTTATATTGTTTAAATTTCATATATTTACATTGATATATGTCTATGTTTATACATACATTAAGTTTAAGTTAGTTTTTAAGGTATTACTGAGTTTGTAGGTATATTTCTTTTTTCTTATGGAGATTGCCCGTATACATGAATAAATAAATGAAAAAATTCCGGATTTGTGGAAAAACAACTCATGGCTTTTGCGTGAATTTTTGGCTAAAAACAATACTGTGAGTATGTAACCTCTATATTCACCAGATATAGCTCTGTGAGACTTTTTTCTATTTCTAAAGATTCAGATTCTTTATTAATCATTTGTAGCCAAGCTGTGCTTGGATATGGCAAGTCATATTACACTCAGTAGCACATTATTAACGTTATGCAAAACAATTTTAAAAAAGTTTGAAACTCGATAAATTATTTTGAAAGTACAATATTCATACAGGGACATACTTACATACAAGTATTAAAATAAATTAGGTATTTTTGCAATAGTTCACAAATTCTTCAAGGCTGTAGAAAGAATTCATTGTCAGCATTTTTTAATTTTTTTTCTTGAAGAGAGGGTGCGATAATTCTCTTACGTTATTTGATATATGGTTATATAGTATAAGTCCAGTATGTTGTGGTGATTTTGTATAATATGTGTGGTTGAATTTTTCGATGCGAAGGTTATCTTTGTTTCTTGTTTCATACCTGTGTCTGTCACCATTTCTAGCATAGCAATCTTTATTATTATGTATATACAGTAATATATTTAAAATGTATATGCAGGGAAATGTCAATATACCCTTTTGTTTAAATATTTCTCGGCATGAATCAAAAGGTTTCATATTATATATAATTCTTATGCGTTTTTGGAGAACGAAGACTCTAGTTCACTCAGTTGCAAGTCCCCAACTGATTATGTTGAATTATAAGGTCGAGTAGACTACAGAGTAATATACTTTCAGGAGCGATGATTCATGAAGAGATTTTTTTTTATGAAGAAAGCTTTAAAAGCACATCGATGAAATAGTTAAAGGCTATCAATAATCTAATTCACTGAAATTTAACAAGTCTTATTTGAGACATTGAACAAAAACAAAAAAATGAGGAAATAATTCGTTCAACACCTATTCAAAATATTATTAAATAACTAATAGGCCAATGCAGACTTCGTAACCACTATACAATTGTGTAATCAATAGAATAAAAATACTTACGCATGAACTGACTATTCACTACTTTGATGAAATACTCCAATGACAATGGTTTCGTTAAGGGTACTGTCAGTACTAACTCTATAGGTTCATCGTTCATGCACATTCTTTTAGTCACCACAAAAGACTCTATATGATAAATACTATCATGCTGGGGATCCTCAACCCATGCATAATAGTGTTGGGCCCCTCCGTGAATACTATGATCCCACTTAAACTTGGGTGTTATAAATAATTTCACTCTTATAACCCCTTCTGTGATTGGTTTTACAATAAAGTCAACTTCGACACAAGGAAAAATTTGACAGTAATGCTTCACTTTATTACCAACATGTTTACTGCGAAAAAGAGATTCCAGTTCACGTTCTGAGAGCTCTTTTAGCTCACTCATCGGCATATTAAGGATTTCCATTGATCGATGAGAATTCAGATGTGGCAACAGTTCTTTAAATTGCAGTAGGGGATGTGTTTCAGACCACTGTTGCTGTTCTAGCATTTGAGCAATCAGTAGTGTACGAGATACTTGTAGTGCAAAGTCTTTATCTTTGGCTATCTCAAATAAAGCTCTAGCGAGTCTGGTTATTGTCTGAAAGAAATAACAATGAGAAAACAAACTTTATTATAATTGAGCCCCATATACAATTATGTTGAAGTTTTTTGAAATAATTCTTCAACTCAAGTGTCCGTTGTCAAACATACTCATTTTACTAACCTGCATGATGAAGTTGGTGTCAGATATTAAAGAAGAAACCATTATTGGCGCTCTACTGATATTGGCTTGCAATAAAATTATTACTTTGGAAACATTATGGGTAAAATCTAAATTAATGTCATACTCATTATATTCTCTCAACCTGTCTAACTCGTGCATTTCATCCATTCGTACCTGAAATAACAAATGGTAGTATAAGGTATGAATAATCTCTTAGTCTTACAGATATTTTAGGAAAAGGAATAATTTTAAAAGAAATTAGTTAGTTAATTAATTAGAAATTATATAATTAAAAGTCGTTATTTTTGGTGTACTTTTTTTCCATTTATGTATAATCTACCCATTTTCGCAAGAGTTTTGATATTTTTTCCTTTCTTTGAGAGTTTCTCATTCTTTTCCTATATTGATTTTATTTCATCACTGTAATTAATTTGACTGAAATGTAAATTCTCAGTTGAACAAATCATCATTTTCTGCTGTTTCAATTTCCATTACAAACATTTGGAGTACTAAATGACAAAGTGACTTCTGACTTACAGTAAAAACTAATTGTGTCAAAGGCTTTTCTGGATTGGATTTTAAATAAACTTTAATGTATGTCCTACAACCACATAATTTTTCAAACAGTATTCACTATTTTTTTTTCTTTCTTTAGAATATTTATTCATTTATTTCATATATTATTTGAGAAGTAGAACGTCCAAAATAATTTTTTCTCATTTCTTTAATTTTCAATGATATAAAGAAAATTCCTGATATTGAATCACTTTCCATTATCAAAAACTAAGAACAATCAGAAAAAGACAAATATTCAAGTTGTATTGTCCTAATATGATAAATTTTCTCCTTGATATCTGACAGCTTTTGCATAGTACAGTCATTGTTATCTGAATTGAATAAAGTTGTTTTATATCTTTGACCTTTTTTCACAGATACTCGTAACTGTGAAAAAACTTGGAATGTTCTCCTGTATTTCTTGCCATCTGAAACACCTATCTAGGATATTCGACTATCTGTCTTTTATTTAAAACAATAACTTGATAAACCTTCGTCTTATTAAAGATCTGGGAATTACTTACCTGTATTTGAGCAAATTCTGAGGCTTGACTTATGAGTTGTATAATTCCGGACTCTGAAATATACCTGTCAAATTTTTCATAAAACATCTCCATTGTCCTATGTGATATGTAATAAAAACTGGCGATTCTACCAAAATTTGTAGGACGCAGTTCACCAAGTGTTCTGTCAAATCTTATCAACTGCGATTTTTCCAAGGTATTTGCAGCAGTATCTAGTTGAAGTTGTAAAAATTGGTTGAACTGATTTATGTCCTGAAATGACCAAAGTAAATAGAATATTTTACTTTCCTATGAGATTAAATTACCCAAATTTCATTGTAAGTTAATCCGTATACCAGGGGATTTTTTTTTATACGAACAAATAAAAATGTATTCGCCAGCCATTCCATTGCTTCTTTAACATTGGAAACTGTTCCAAGTACAACCTGAAAAAAATTGGAAAATATTGAATTTTTTTTTTCAGGAGGCAATTTTTCTAGTACTGATTGAGAATGCTTACCTCAGCATTCAAATTATCAGGAATGCAATTGAGAAACTGACTCTCAATGGGAGTTTGTGACAACATCAATCCCATGTACTTAGACATATTTGTCATTGAAGTTATTATAATGCCATGTCCAGAAGTGTCATATTGAGGTCGACCTGCTCTACCAAATATTTGTTGAACATCTAACATATCCATATCAACAAATGTTGATTTTGTTGCGTCGTAATGAAGTGTACCCTAAAACCAGCGGAACTTGAACAAATTAGTCAACAAAATAATCTCAATTTTACTCTTATGATTACTGCATGAGCCGGCAAATTTACCCCCCAAGCCAAAGTAGTGGTACAAACAATGACTTTCAGATCGCCAACTCTAAAAAGCCTTTCAACTTCAAGTCTGTCTGATCTCACCATACCTGAAACAATTACACATTTTGAAGATATAGAAGAGTACATCTACTAGAAATAGCTTATTAGTGAAATATTCGAGAATGAACTTCATACCTGCATGATGAATACCAAATCCTTGTGGAACAAGAAAGCCCAAATCACCACTTTTAAAGCCAGATCTCATTACTTTCACAGATTTTTCTGGTTCAAACAAAGGCAAAGTTCCTTTTACTTGAGCAATTTCTATAAGTTTTTTGGCCACTGCTGCAGTGGCATTTCTGGAGGTGACAAACACCATGGCCTAAAACATTTAATATCTGCAGTTCTAGAATTTTTATGAACTAAAAGTTGTAAATTTGCATTTTTTTTTCTATACACTAATATATTCCTAGTAACAATTCGTTCAGGCCAGTCTCAACTCCTTACAGTGTAGGTTAATGGACTGACACCTATCAGAAAACAACTACTCCCCTGGCTAATACCACGAAGGGCGTTGGATTATATCCGATAGGTGTCAGTGCAGGATTCTTCACTGAAGTTATTCCTGCATATGCTGTTGGCGATACGACTGCGCAATAGATTTTCAATCTAACGAGTTGTTCCTTCAGATGATTTGATTTATAGCCAGTCTTCAAGTATGCCCAATGACTATATGTGAAAGTTTTTTTATTATACGAGGAATTGGTCAAATTTCGGATATGCGGTTGGTTACCTCGTTCGCAGATGGGGCGATGACAAACCTGTTGTTTGTTGTCCGCTTCAGTCTAGTTCGAGGAATGATACTCTGAAGAAATTCGATCTGCAAGTGTGTTCCAATAATTGAAAATATATTGCGGCAGTTGTATCGCCAACAGCATATGCAGGAATAACTTCAGTGAAAAATCCTGCACTGACACCTGTCGGATATAATACAACGCCCTTCGTGGTATTAACCAGGGGAGTAGTTGTTTTCTGATATGTGTCAGTCCATTAACCTACAGTGTAGGGAGTTGAGACTGGCCTGAATGAATTATTCTCCAGATGATTTGGTATATTTTTAGAGAATGAAGGAATCGTTATTAAATTTTATGAAATTGACCCAAAATGGTAAAGTGGGATTCTTACTATGAGTGAATTTCAAAAATAAAAGTAATTCTTCACTAAAATGTTAGATTTTTCAGGTCAGTAACCATATTGTTTCGTATTTATTACTTTTTTGACTTAAATCGGATTCAGAAATTAATGACGCAAGTACATTCTTTCATTGTTCTAACTGTAATAATATGATCTAATTGGATGTTTTCTGGTGAGTGCACTTTTACACTTCACTGTCACGCCAATAGTCAGAATTGCCACTATTGGTTTAAGGAATACCCCCAAATGTACGCAATATCCTGAAAAGGTTATCATTTGGTCAGGAATTGTTAGAGGAATTGTTAGGTATCTTTTTTACTGGCGATAATTTGAATGGCTATAATTTTTAGTAGTGTTCCAAAATAATATCAAGCCAACTTTGACAAACTCATATTCTGAGCAACCCCACAATTTCCAGTGAATTTGATATTATTTTAGCTAGATGGAGTACCACCCCATCACCAAATCAATATCCGACAGTGCTTCGGCCGAATCGATGTATTGACCAACACGATCCCCTTATCTGATGTCATAAGACCTCTTTCCATGGAAATATGTCAAAAGTACTGTATTACAAGAATAAACTGCTCAACTTAGATTTGACTTACAAAGACAAATAACACGTGCGTTTAGATCAGTCACGTCTGAGATGTTGAGAGAAGGAGAGCATTGTGGACATTTCCTGTATTGATAATAGCGTTATTTAATTTTTACATTACCAACAGATAAATAGTAATACTATTATTATTATTGATGTTAATACTATTGTGAAAAATGAGAAATGAAACTTTCTATGTTTTTTTAACACTCACATTATTTGTAACTAAAGTTACTGCAGTTTCATCCTATAAGAACATTTTGAAACGAATGCCATATTTTTGTTATTGTACTGTATTTGTTTGAAAATGTTCTTATAGGACGAAACTGCAGTAGAGTTAGTTACAAATACCACAATTTAATACCACTGTTAATGTTAATTTTTGCAATGAATCTGAAAACACTTCATAGTTGCAAAACAATTGAAGATATTTAAAGGACACTGTAGTTGTGATATAGTAGAGTGAAGAGGTAAAGTATGTACACAGCCGATTGATCAATTGTTTATTCTTAAAAATTCATGTTTCTGATTGTGCTTGCCATTGAATCGTGTCACATTAGTGTAACTTAAGAGTGATTTCTACCCTTACTCCCAATAAACATAAGCTCTTCATCAATGCAGTTTGGTAAAATTGTCGACCAAAAAAACTTCGTCCATATCGCTTTTTCTTTCCACCTCCACAGCTGTTCTTGATGTAGTGAAAAATAAAAATAGTTTCTCACTTATCACACACTTATCGAGAAACAGAAAAGAACCACAAGATCAAATATGTTAAGTTCACTCCTAAAATTGTCCCTCTTGCAACCAAATAAACTGGTTCAAAAGATACTACAAGTTTCCACATTGCAACCAGTCCACATCATCTTTAGGAACTATCACGGAAACAAAGACACCGAGGATTTTGTTCAAGGTTCAGATGAATTTCATATTTTATGTTCATCAGAAACCTGGGCCACTAAGGATACCAATGCAATTCCCAGCTACAACTCATCATAAAACACAATCAACTCAATTGCCATCAAAGAAAAATCATCCAGGAGTGCAAGTGATGGACTATTGTAAAAACACCAAATATTCGAAAATACTTAGCTGTATGAGAACAAGTTAAGTCTGACAATACTGAAAATGCAAGAGTGCGAAGTTAGCTAGATTTCATGAACAGCAACGGATCCTCTTTACTGAATCGAAGATGTGTCTCTGACGGACCAGCTTAATTCACGTTTGCCACTATACAGGGCAACAGTATAATTGATCTAGTATAGGTAAACAGCTCGGCTGTGAGCTATCTCTCAGAAGATTTCACACCTAACTTCTTCTGCTTCCTCAAATACAATTTATCAAAGTCAAGCGCCACTTTAATAAAGTACTGCCTTTGGATGAAACGCTGGTGTTAATATGCCCTTTAAAAATTTCATTTCTGCTAATGAAACTGCTCAAATGCTAGACCTAGTTAAAAACATATCTTATCCCGACTAAATACCTTACAAAAATAAACCTTGGCTCAATGATGACTGTGTTGATATGTGGAGATAGTAATGCCTCCATTGAATAAAAATCTGACTATCATAACTACAAATCCGAATATAGAAAAATTTTAAATTCCAAAAAATATAACCATGAAAGGAATATTATTTATAACTCAATTTCCAAACACCGAACATTTGAAATGTTTTTGGAAAACCAGGGAAGTCTATGTAATGTCAGAAATTGCACAAATTCAACTACCTGTATCACACAGAGCTGAACAGTTCAAACTATCAATTTTCAAACCAATTACTGGGCAACGAGAAGATTGTATGTATGTATTCTACATTCTTTTAACAATTCATCCGATTAATTCATGAACAATTATTTAAGGGTTTTAATTGTTTGTGAACTGTTGTCTGCATTCATTTTCACCACTTAGGCATGGAAATTTATTTCATTTTCCGGCTCTACTAATGTGTCATTGTCTATTTCTTCTATCTCACAGGTTATATGAGACATGTTAGCAAAGGGTTTTTTATTATTATTTTTATTACATTTCTTGTAAAACTTTTACGAACTTTTATATGGCGAGTTGTGATTTCCAAAATTACGGAAATTTGATGTTTGCACCGGGTTAGATCGGTAGTAAGTATTTAATCTACGATAATTATCAACTTGGCGCAAACCCGTTAGGGCATCTTCATTGGAAAATGTCTTGCTATGAACCCTATTATGGCTTTCTCGGTGAGAGGGAGTTGTAAAAAATTATTTTTCATGACATTTTTTAGGAAATGTGCCACAAAACATCCCGAACCTCACTCATATCACACTAATTCTAATTTCCGTCGAAGATTAGATTGAATTATCGTTCCAAAATTGATTGAAAAACATAGTTTTGAAACTTTCGAAATCAACATTTGGAATGAAAATAGCATCTGCCCAAATTTTAGCCTCATTCTTAAATATGTCACCATGAGTTATAATCAAACTAAAAGGTATTATAAAGAAAAGGGCGTGATCAATTTTTTGTATGAAATCTACAGGTTCAAGTCATTCTCGAATGTTGGAAGATGTTTCAAAATATCAATATAGTTTTTATGTAAAGGAAATTGTGATGTGTTAGTTAGCATTAAAATGCCGTTATTTCGAAAATTGTAATTTAGAATACTAAGTTAATCTGTTTCATTTTGGGCTTGGAATTTTATCTTTATTTATTTTCATGCTATAGTTCCGCCCCTGTATGTTATTTCAATTTATGTATTGAAAATCGTGATTAAGATCGGGTAAAAAATAACTCCCCACACACCTGGTATTTGGTTCAAGATATTTTCATTTGTGTTTTTTGAACTGTTTGAAAAATTAACTACTTTTGCTGTATTTGTTGACATGACATGTTGACAATCACGGCATTGAAAATTTATAAAGTCAAAATGATTTTAATAATTTCTGAAAAACTGGTTATCACTATTACCTACGTTATTAAACAAATCAATTCTACTTCTCAAATAGTATGGTTTTTGTGAAACTCCCTGAAAACTATCGTGATCATCTTTTGAACGTTGATTTGTTAAAGGAAAATTTGAAGAAATTGGACTTCACCTTCTTTTAGCTGTGTTTACAGGAGAAGTTAATGAGTTAGATTTTAATATTTTCAACCAAGAAAAAAAATTGCCACCTCAACACTAATATTTTGCTAGAAGTGAATATATCAAACTTATTTTGCAAATAAGATTCCGCCATGATTTTTTCAAATTATCAAATTTAAATCAAATACAAAAAAGTATATTTCAATTGTGGAGTCAAAATCCCATTTTCAAGAAATTATCACTAATCATCTCAGATTGAACTAACATAATTTATCAAAATCCAAATACAAAATTTTTAATTTTCGTATTGTGATTTTAAAAACAAATGTTATTACCTGGTGTCCTTCTCTTATGAACCCAACAACTTTCTCATAACAAACCATATCCATTGTCTCATTCTCGTTTTTCTTCTTGCAACCAATAAAACTTGTTGTCAAAGGCACCGACCGGAAACGGTTATCAAAAAAGAAAAGTCCAGTTTGATAATTAACTTTTAAGAATGTTGCTACATCTAAATAACCTGGTAGAGTTGCAGATAAAGCTACAATCCGTATCATGCTTTGACTGCTCACAACTTGTCGAAGAGTTCTAGCCACAAGCGCTTCTATAACTGGTCCTCTGCTTCCATTTAGAAGATGTACTTCATCGATTATGAGCAGTTTCACCAACCCAACCACTTCTGTATCAACTAAAATAACAAAAACATTTTTTCTAAAACCTAAATTTGAAAATTACTTCTTCCGTGTACCATCATGATCTCGGGTGATAATTATAATTCCAACAAAATTTGTATAAGCCACTGGATTCTTAATTTCAGTACTTCAAAATTACTTATAATATTATCTCTAATAGGCAATAAATGAATTCATAAATGTAAACTAATAGAACTGGAATATAACGTTTCTTGTGTGCGGCACTTTACTTGCCGTGTATAGATATATTTCCAGGCATTCAACATTATCAAAATATTCTGGGTTACCTAAGCAAGTCTCCGTATAACAAAATAAATATTAATAAATAGATATTGATAAATATAATTATCAGGGCCTGATAAATGTCAGTCGGAAAACAACTACTTCCCCGGCTAATACCACGCTGGATATTTAATTATATCTGACAGACATTTATGCAAGATTCCTCACTGAGGCTAGTCTCACAGATGTTTCTCGTTCATCCACCAGCAGGACCATGCTGAAATCATTCAAGTAGATCACCTGCAGACCGCGGTGCATAAAAGAGAAACATCTGTCAAATTATCATGACTACATTCTGGTTCTCATAACTGCGTATGGGCAGTCTTCTAAGATGAGGAAAATTGTTAAAATCGGACATTTTTATTGTATGTATTAGCAACGACAAGTTATCATGAGCATGAACTCCTCTCAAAAAGTGAATTTTACTTCCTTCATCAACTCGCAAAATCTTCAAATCAAATTTGACAGAATCAACCTGAGAAGAAAAGTCCTCGTTTGTCTACTGCAAGCATAATTGTTCTAGTTGTCCAACTAAACCTAGGCCTTCTACAATTTTTCAATCCAACAGAGTAACAGTTGAGGCTTTATTGCTTACTGTATGAATAAGAATAATAATTATCGAACTTCTGGACCCGCAGACTCTGATTGTAATCATTTTCCACAGTATTTTACTGTTGCTACCTACTGCAGTTTCTCCAGTATTGGCTGTCATAAAATTTTCAGGAGCGGTAGAACCAGTACCGTCATACCTTTCCTTATGAAGATGAGGTTTATGAAAATATTTACATCCAATGACTTCACCTGTGTTTTTGCGACAACACTTAAATGTTTGAATAGAAGGGGTTATATTTTTAGGAGTGTCTAATTTTGGGAAAGAAAGTTTTTGACTTTCTACTACTCCATCTTGATACAAAAAAATGTAGGAATCTTTCAAAGAAAGGAAGGAAGTGATCAATTTTCAAATAAGTAACTCTTTACATGGATGTGTACTGAAGAGCCCTAAGGCAAAGTGTCTTACAGCGAAACATAGATGTCTACCAGTGAGGATGACAGTGTTCCATGTGAGTGCAATTTTTTTTACCGTTCATTTAGTGTGGATCTCCTGTGAATGATATCTGATTTGATACCATAACGAATGTTTGGAATACAAACTGAATAGAGAATAGTGTTTTCTGTATAATTCAGTGTTCATATAAAAGAATTTGTTTCAAAAGAATTTTGCTTTCGTATAATTCAATGTTTACATGAAAGTAGCTGTTTCAGGAGGGCTTTTTCTTCCAGTTTGTGTCTGAAAGTTATTTCTTCGCATGATCTACACATCCACGTATAGAGTTACTTATTTTAAAATTGATTACTTCCTTCCTTTTCTTGAAAGATTCCCTCATCCTTGTTTTTTGTATAAAGATGGAGTAGTAGGAAGCCAAAAACTTTCTTTCCCAAAAATTATCACTCCTAAAAATATAACCCCTTTAATTCAAATCTTCAATTTCTTCTTCATTTGTAGGTTTCAGGAACATTGACGAGGAAACATTGAATTCAGGAAATTCAGCCAAGACTGGAGACATTTTTTGAATATTTCCAGAAGATTGTCATAAAATTCATCAACACAATCTAGAGTGTAATAGATATTTCTGGAAAAATTATTCAGTTCTATTTTAACTTTCAATTCTATACTTCATTTTCTTGCGATTTATAGGAAATGTTTCAATAATTTGTAGATGGTGGTCACTCCTATTCGAATTAATTATTGAAATACTGATACTTTGTTCAGAATTTGTTAAGACGTAATCTAGAAATGTTTTTGTTCTATCAGTTTCTCTAGTTGGAATCTTACTGTTACGTATGATGAAATTATTTACACAACATAATTCATTAAGTTTCTTGACTGCAGAATTTTTCTTGAGGTTATCAATGTTGAAATTGCCAAATACATAAACATTGTTATTGTTCTCATTGAAATTTTGAAATTCAATATCCATAAAAGTCAGAAAGTCATTAATTTCAGTTTTTTCAGATCGGTAAACTCCACAAATAGTAATATTAGGTGATTTTAGTTTTATAGCGACAAATGATATATCTAAGCTCGACGTTTTTATTAGTTCATACTGTATATGATTTCTAATAAAAATTCCAACTCCACCTCCACGTTGCTTACGACACGAAAATTCTGCAGAAAAACCTGGGAAGTTGTAGTACTTCTTTTCTTCATCTTTGATCCAAGTTTCAGTTATAATGACAATATCTGCTTTTATATCAGCTATGATTATTTCTAACTCCTGTATTTTGTTTTTCATGGATCGAGCATTGAGGAATAACATTGTTAAGTTTTTGTTTGAATCACATTTATAATCAAAAAGTGAATTATATTCACTTCACTGCTCAAATGATGTGTCTTTATCTGGCCGGGAAGTGTTCACCCCATTTCCAAAATCGTCTGGCCATACAAAATCTGCTGACAAAGATATATTCATTCCAGCATTCTCGTCGAGGTCTATTCTTCTCCATGTATTGAATCAAGTCAGGGTCACAAAATATTCAGTTCCGTATTGAACAGTCCCAATAATAAGCAAAAATAACTTCTTTTTCCAGTCAAAATCTATTTTTCTCCAACCGCCAAAAACATCAAAACTTACTTCTCTAGATAACTCTAACACAGGGTCATATAAAGTTACTTAAAACATATAAGGCAAAAATAATCGGACATTCACAATGTCACTAAAATAAATTTTGAATTGGATACAGAAGCACAAGTAAATATCATTCTATCGAATTATTTAGAATTACTTGATATTTCAAAAAATAACTTGTTAGATGAGAAATCAAAATTGGGGATATAATCAAATGTAAAAATATTTCAAAGTACATTATTTCTTTATAGTCAACAAGAAAAATTTTCAGCCAATGTTAGGCAATAAAGAGTGCGAAAACTTAAATTTAATTAAACTTATCGATAATTTGGAAAATCAAAAAAATTATCAAAATAATGAGAATGATCAAAACATGATGAAAGAATTTAAAGATGTCTTTAGTGGATTAGGATGTTTGCAAGGGGTATATGATTTTAAACAGATATTTCAAATGTAAAAATATTTCAAAATACATTGATTTTTTTATAGTCAACAAGGAAAAATTCAGCCAATATTAGGCAAAAAAGAGTGTGAAAACTTAAAAAAGTAAGTTGGATCAATTGAAGAAAATTAAATAATTGCCAAGTTCTATATAAGGTATTTGAAGACAAAAATTTTATCTTTTCTTTTTTACCATGAATCATGAAATTTAATTGAAATTGTGGTTACTATTGAATTGATAACATTTTACTTTTCTTCTCTGTCAAGGGTAATAATTATCAGTTCGTTGTTGGCTACACAATAAATTTGTTTACTAATAAGGATCATGATAGAAAATAATTATCAAATCCTTTTTAAGCTCATAATTTTGTACAGTTCAACCTTACATACCTGCTCCTTTTCTTGTAATAACATCCCATTTTTCTGGAGTAGTGACTAACATTTGTGTTTCTGATATTTCCTTTTTGGTAAGTTGCATATCACCAGTACATTCTTTAACAGTGATTCCAATTGGGGCAAGTTTTTTTGAAAAATTTGACACCATTTCGGTTGCTAAAGCTTTCATAGGGCATACATAAATAATCTAAAATATACAATAAAGAGTAAGAATTCAAGGACATCTATAAAATCCACCTTAAAATCATTTTTTTTAATGAGACTTCCTTCCATATGACATCTTATTTGATGTACTATTGCTAAAAGAGCAATATTAGTTTTACCAGCTCCTGTAGGGGCACAAACTAACATATTTTCATTAGAATGATAGGCAACTGAAAAAACTTCTGACTGAATTCTATTGAATTCATTTATATCTCTGAATACTAATTGACCTGTTGCATCTAGAGAAGAAACTTTGACAAGTTCCATATCTGCAACGTCACCTTTTTTACCACCTGGTATTGTAAATTCAGCATAATCAGCTGTAACTTTTTTTACAGCATTCTCTGGCTGGGTAATTGAAACACCATCATATTTTGCTAAAAAATGAATAATCAAGATATATGAATTACAATGAAGGAGTTATCTATTACTTGTTATCATATGGTTTCTTAATTGGTCATGAACATGTGGATATTCGACAGGATCTAATCTCTGGGGAGCCGCCTTTTTGAAAATAGGAGCATTCTTGGCTATTTCATATTCAGCTTCAGTTCTGAAATTTTATTGCATAAGTAGAAAAGATGTCATAAATGAATGTATCTAATGAGCCTACTGTTTAATATCTGTAGTTGAGAACTTGGACCTGTCTTTTTTTTCCATTTTCCTCAACTTTTTGGAAAGAATAGATTCTTTTTCAGATTGTACAATAACTTGCCCTGCAATGAGTTCAGAAGGATTTTTCTTTCCTGCTCGTGGTCCATTTTCTAAAAACAATGCTACTGAAGTTTAAGATTTAAATATTCTAAATTGGTTAAAAAACAAACTATGCTATTTATGCAATTTGGAAATTTTAAACAAAAAAATCACCAAAATATGTTACCTCTTACCGTAAGCAGGTGAACCGTAGTCAATTTTTTTACTGCGGTGTCTTATAATTTCTGTTATAAAATCTATTGTTGCATATCCGAAAGTTTCTAATAAAAATTCCATCAACTCATCATTGCTTCTACCTGAAAGTCAATATTTGGATTATTGCCAGCAGAACATTATTCTCAAGTCAAAATGAGGCACTCTTCCTTCATTTAGAAATTATACCCACCCAAAAGGTGTACCTCCCATCAGATGCAGCCACTCTACCACCGACCAGAGAAATCGAGGTACTAGTTACTAGTAGATCACTACCTCAACCAGAGAGTGGAGCTTATATTGGGTTGCGCCTCAAACTCTCACCACTTGAGCTGGGGCAGCAAGGATATCAACGCCCGAGGTAAGTCCCTATACAGGGTGTTTCAAATTCGATCCTCACCATTGGGATCTCGGAAACTATGAGAGATACGAAGATGGTTAAATTGGGGAAAAGTTGCGCATTTACCTGACTAACAATATGCTGTTGAGAATGTTCTGAAATTCCGAGTATATCCGGAGATATCCAGGAAAAACAGAAATTTCGGAAAATGTTTGGTATATATATATATATATATATATATTTTAATTTTAATTTAACTAATATGACTGTGAATTTGCTGTGACTTGCCATAAATGTATAAACTACATAATCTGGTCAAATAAACTACTACTACTACTACTACATGTCTTTAATCTTGACAAACATCATTCGATATGTAAGAAAGTCAATGATCCATTCTAGGAAGTCCCCTCTAAATCCTAGATTATATAATTTGCTCTTGATGAATTTAAAATTTAAACAATCGAACGCACGTGACGGATCGAAGAATACTCCTGCAACATGCTTACCACTATCTAAAGAAGCGTATATGATTTCTAAGAATCTCCAAGTAGCTGATTGAGTGGACTTGCCTTTGCAAAAACCATGTTGAGAATCGGACAGGATCTTAAACCTTGATAAAAATCTTAATATTCTCTCATTCACAACCTTTTCAAAGATTTTTGAGAAAATGCTTAGCAGGGCCACAGGGCGATAGTTTGTAATATCCGATGTATCGTTCTTCTTATGAACTGGTATGGTATGGCTGTTTTTAGAATTGAAGGAAATTTGCCACTTGTGACTGATAGATTCAACAAATAAGCTAAATGTTTTGAAATGTGTAACTTAATTTCTTTTAAAATTCTCACTGATATATTATCAATTCCTGTACTTTTTTTATTTTTTAGACTGTTTATTACTGCGTCAATTTTACTTTCGTTAACGGGCATAAAAAAAAAAGTATTGGATTCAATTCCAGAAACCGTGCATACGGATGATCTATTGTCGCCAAAATGGTCTGCTAAACTATTTTCTACCACTGAAGAGAAATAGTCCCCAAATATGTTCGCAACATGATCTCTATCTATGATTACTTCATTATTATAGTTGAATTTTTTTTCTGTTCGTTTCTTTATTGACAAGGTTCCAAAATGTTCTATTTTTATTGTTAGAATTCTTAATTACATTTTGGTAAAAATTCAACTTTGAAGCTTTTATTTCATAGTCCTCCGCTTTTTTGTATGCAGCACAAGAATCTTCGTTGCCTATATTTTTACATAACCAATGCATACTTTTTAAATCAAGACTGGCCTGTTTCACTTCAGGAGTTATTCAGTTATGTTTGTTACTAGTGGACGATTTGTGTTTTTTGGTCGGACAACATTTATCGATAGCATCACTTATAATATTCATGAAGGCCAGAAAGCTCTCATCTATATCAGTTTTGATATATATTACATCAAAACTGGTTTTGGACAATGTCGAGGAGAGTTGTTTCAAATTATGCTCTGATACATCTCTATACATAACATAAGATTGTTCAACAATTTTAGATTCTTCTAGTGGCATCTTATAAGTAACTGTGAATACTTTGTGATCACTGAAACTACCTTCATAAATATTAGATTTGCAAAACATGTTCTCAACGTTTGTTAGTATGTAATCGACTTTAGTAGATGAAGTTTTCCCTGACTGGTTGGTAAAAACTCTAGTAGGTGTCAAAGATGTCACTTGTAAATTGAAATTGAATAGTAATTCATCTAATTGGATCTATTCAGTAGTATTTTCTAGGTAATCGACATTCAAGTCACCACCTACAAAGATATCATCAGCATAGCCTACACTACACTATTCTCTAATATGCAAAATAATTTATGCAAAAATGTATCAAAGTTACCATTTGGAGATCTATAAATACTAAGTATACAAATCTTTCTGTCCTCTATAACTAATTTTATCCCACTGCATTCACAATGGATTTCTTCGGACCAACTCTCCAAATTTTGGCACCGCAATACATTGGATGATTTAACATAAATTGCCGTTCCTCCATGTATATGAGTTGAGCGACAGAATTTGCGTACAATTTCATAACCAGGTATAGACATGAACTCAATATTTTCAATATCACACCAGTGTTCAACAATACTAATAATGTCCGGTTTCTCTTCTGATGCGAGAACTTCCAATTTGTTAATTTTATTAGTCACTGACTGTGCATTCAATTGAAGTATTTTTAATGAATAGTTATTACTTTGTTTTTCATTGCATAAAAACCCTGAGTTACCATCAGCAGAGATTTCGGATGTGATATAAGTAGCATATTGTTGATCACTGTTCGTGCAAGGGACGTATAGATAAATTAGAGGGCCAGTTATCAGGATCCAGAAGTTCGTCCAAAGGTAAATCGAAACTTCCTATTTTGAAGAACTTCTTTTTTTATTTAGATTTTAGGTCAAAACAGTCAATGCTTTTATCTGGAAACGCTTCCCTCAAATATCGTTTAACATTTTCAAGGGTGATGCACTGATCAACACCACCAATCCAAATCCAATTTCTTTTTGGTGCAACTGGAAGTAGGTTGTTCGGTTGCCCTGTGCCATACGATTTAGGAGGAAATGGTGACCCATAAATTTTTTTGTTTATGTGTTTCTTGTAAGAAACTGATTTCCAATCGTTATCATTGGAGATGCTGTCGTGGTTAACTTCAAGATCGTCATTCAGGTGACTAATTTCACTGCACTTCACTAATGTTTTTTCTTGCAGCAGTTGAAATTCTTTGTCGGTCGCCATATTTGAAATAGACCTCTGACCATAAACTCTATTTTTCAGTGTACCCCATAAGAATGTATCCATAACACTCAAGTCTGGAGACCTTGTTGGCCATCTCACTGGTCCATTATTTCCTATCCATTTATCACCAAACCTTTCAGTCTAGTAATCAGATACTGGTCTGGTAGTGTGCGGTGGAGCACCATCATGTGTTATAGTTAGCAAAAGGTAAATCATCCAAATAGTCTTCGAAAATCGACATTAAAAACTGATGTGATGTCTAACTTACCTCATACATACTTCATCAAATTTTGATTGACGATTATGTCTCTGCATTTTTTCATTGGCTTTTCAAATGAACCAAACTCGGTGAGATTTTGATCCAATAACTTGAACATACTTCGATATGGTTGTCATCTTTCGGGATACAAGTTTAAATACATGTCCAATGTCCTAACACTGTTTCTATCGTATTAGTAATAAATTTGTATCATATCTCTTTTTCATACTGTCGGCTTGTCGGCTAGTCGTGTGTATTTGTATGTGTAAATAAAACTGTTTTTAGTGGGAAAAAAAAAGTGTATAAACATCAAACTTATATCAATGTGTAGAGGAAAGTGTAAACTCCACATTTAGAATGCAGTCATTAACCTACAATGATTGGATAAGAAGAAAATTTTGATCTATGTGTGCAAATAAACTGAAATCGGATTGTTGAAAAAGTGGAGATATCCTTAAAAACCATTTTATGATAAGAGATAAGTTGGGGAACAAAGAAGAATAAAATAGTGTGGAAAAAAACAAAACAAAAAAAACGAAATTGCACATATATAAAAAACTTTGGCTTCTGGCAATAATTTGAATACAGTGGTGTACAATATCGTTTTTACTAAGGTTAAAGATGCGAAGAAATTGTCAAACCTGTAAAGAGGAAATGCATGAGAAGGACAAACTGGTAACCTGTGACAGCTGTCATACAACAATGCACGCCAATGAAAACTGTACAAAACTAGGTCCTTCAGAGTACCGAGCCGTTATACTGCAAAATAGATCTCTGAATTTTTTTTGCTATGAATGTAGAGGTACATTTAAAAAAATACCTCTGCTTCTCAGACAAATAGAAGATTTCAGAAATGAAGTTAATATTATGAAGCAAGAAATAACTGAACTGAAAAACAAAAATGTGTCAATGGAAGCGGAATTATTGAAATTAAAGAACGGAGATGAAAAAATGGAAATGGAAGAATTTATCAATGAGATGGAAGAAAGAAGAAATCTGTTCATGTATTTGAAATAAATAATAATCATTCCTTTCTAATTATATAAATTATTTCTATTTCTTTGCAGCGTCCTTGGTTTCAGTATGATTCAAACTTCCAAATAATGTTCAAAGTAGGCATGGGACAGAGTCCTGATCCACCAGATGACATCACAGATGAGGGTTTGGACTTTTTGGACATGTGCTTTAAACACGAACCAAAGGAAAGAGCGACAGCTAGTGAACTTTTAAATCACAACTTTGTTAAAATTGGGGAAGACTTATTATGAAGGAAATTGAGAAGTTCACAAATTTTATATTGATTTGTTAGATGAAAGCTTTTTTTCCAAGGGCTTAGATATCTTATTGATGAAAGTGTTGAATAATTGCTAAATGATCATAGATGCCATTTAACTGCTGAACTTGACATATCTGAAAGTGAGATTGAATAGTATCCTAACAGTGTTATGAAACATGTTATAAGTTATCTATAATATGGAAAACAGGTTTTCAGTTACACTCCTAATAAAATATTGAGGAATATAATGGAGTTGATACCATAAGTCAAAGTCAACTTCAATGGGTCATCTTATACAATCTTTGATAATTTTTCACAAAACTTTAATAAAATGAAATTCTGATTTTTTTGTTCAATGATGATGAATGTCAAAAAGTTTTTTCCTTCACCAGAACAAAAATGCTTTCTCTCGACATTTTGCTAACCATGTTAGGTGGAGAGTCGAATAGACCCACTC